TTTAGACTCTCCTCTTTTTTATTGAAACTGTGCTGGTGTTTGTGAATCTCAATGGCTTCCTATACTATGGTATACTAGCCTGGTATACACACCAGCCAAATATAGCATTATTCAATTGGCTGAGAACCTCAATATTTTCAGAGTATAGATGGCTTTTGAAAGATTTATACTTAGGATTTTTTTCCCAGCAGAGGAGAAAATTACATTGATATATGATGCACTGAAAAGGAAAGGGTGGCTGTGGCCTAAAACAAGCCTTAACATAGACTGATTGTGAGAGATAAGAGAGTTATCTCTATCTGTGTTGGGATTAGAATCTTATTCAATGCGAGAGAAATCCTGCCACTGTTCCAGGAATCCAGAGGAACCAATAACTATTAAGGTTGTTCTAGAATGTTAATAGATCAGTCGTCCTCAATCAAATTCTCTCTTTGCAAATGCCATCATTCCCAGCCTGCATTATCCCCAGCCAGGGGTCACACTGGACAGGGATAATGGATGTTGAAGTTCAAAAGTTTTGGAGGGTTTGAACTGGAGAAAAGTGAAGTAAAACAAGGCAGCACATCGCCTCACTCGGGCAGTATTTCCTGACTGGGGCAGCAATACTACTATGCAGTTTGAAGCAACTGCCTCAGCCTGAGTGTCACAAAAGGGCAGGAAATGATTATTTTCTTTGTATTTTATCTGCTTGGGAGAAAGATGCTTTTGATCTTCTTCCCCTTATTAAAATATTTAACAGGCTTTGGGTACAGCTTCCTATAATTTGGATAGCTAAAGGGTGCCATTTGCTGCTCAATTATTATTATTATTATTATTATTATTAATAATAATAATAATTAATAATTAAAGCTTATTTACTAGTCTTTAGCCACAACTCCACTTTGAAAGGCTAAATGAGCATCACACTATGTGGGCAACCATAGTATGTAACACAATACAAAATCAGCAGAGAAACAGAAAACTCTGTCTCTGTACTGCAGTTCCAACCACACTAGGTACAGTGTGACAAAGCCAAGCAGCATTCTCCAGGAAGAAAAGGTTGCAATGATTCTCTTACTGGAACGGTCCTGGGAGAAGCAATAGTACAGTACTGTAATTCTTGCCCTTAGGACAAATATTCCACTGCTGAAATCCAATCAGTCACGTTAAGGATGTTTGATCTGTCCACTTTCCAAAAACGAACTACAGGATAAGGATGAATTCAAATGTGCAAAATTCTGCTTGCTTGATAGATAACTGAAAGAATTAGGCCCAATTTTGCATAGCCAGCTTCTTCCTAAATGTCTTCCTTCTGTGGTCATTATTCAATGCATGGCCATATGTAAATTATTCAGCTGCTGGAAATCAACATTGTGTTGATTCACACTAGTCTGAAAGTCAGAGTAGTTCAGTGCAACATCATCAGCTTCTCTAGTTTTCCAATTTTATGCCAAGCACATAATCTTACCTTTTCCTGATGTCTGCCCCAAATTAGCCTTTTTGCTGATACACTATTGGTAGGTTGGGATGTGAGCATCCATGTTGCTTTGGCTACTGGTGCAATACTGAGGAATGCCAGATTCTACTGGCTATGTACTATCTAAATCCTACAGTCAAGTAATAATGCCAATAATATCTATAAATTTGATTGAGCATATACTCTTAAATGGTTAGAAAAACATGACTACATGCAACCATATCGTTATATCCATTAACAATCTACTTGAAAAAAATGCCATGACATGTAGAAGGCACATATCACTGCATTTTTGAAGAATGTTTGGTTTCCTTTACTGATGCTGCAGTACATGTTCTCTTTCAACTTTTTTTTAAAGAATAGCAAAAATATAGCTGATTCTCTTTCCCTTCTCCTTCAACCCACTGCTTTGGGCCATGGGCATCTGCTGCTCTGGATGCAGTAATCAAAATGACAAAAATAGTGTTGTGCTGTCAAGACGCAAAGTCCACCTCTTTTGGACATGTATGTAACATCACAAAGCATGTACAAAAGGAGTGCAGCTTGTGTCACAGCGGCACAATGCTGCTTTTGTCAAATTGACTGATTTGACCCCCTCCCCCAAACACCACTGAACTACTCATGTGGGTTGGGGCAACCCCTAAGACAAAGATCACAGTCTTTTTAAAAGTTAAACTAACCTTATTGAATTAGAAACCTTATTGAATTAATAGTGGTCTGATGTAACTCTGGCTCATTTTAATGGAACTTAAGCTGGAATTTCCTAACACAACATTCCCCAACCAGCTGCCCAACAAACATGTCGAGCTAAAACTCCTTTAAGAATATCGAGTATGGGAGTAGTCCAATGTATCTCAAGAACACTAGACTGGGGAGGGATGCCCTAGTAGAACTTTCTTCCCACATGGATCTATGGTTTGGAAAAGCCCTAGAGGGAACCTGATAGAGGTCAGGGGTAAGTAGTATGATGGGTAATGCGTATGGGCAAAGCCAATAACCAATTTCTTCTTGAATTTGAGGAGGGGGGATTTTTGTCTTGCTTTCCTAAAAAATATGTTAAGCATGTTTTAAGGCTTATGCTATCATTTTCTACAATTTCACACCTTAAAATGACAAGAAACCACCCAACTCAATTTAGTTATTTTGAGAGGAGAGGTTCTAACAACTACAAAAATGTGGTTCCAGGAGTGCATGTAACTCTTGCAAATCAAGTTGGCCACTACGGTTTTAATCAAAGCACCACAGAATGCAGGGGTCTTATAGAATGGACCAACTGGGTCATAAAGTCTGACTACCTGTTCAAGACAGGAATCTGTTAAACCATTCCAACAATTTTTTCAGTCATCCATCAATATCAATTAATCTTGGATGTTGATATTAAGGGACACTTCAAAAAGCTACTCACCTCATAGACATTAAACTGGCTTTGTCCTCGTGCCAGTTCTCTATAGCTGGTTGTAAACTCTCCAATGAAATCATGGCTGTTAATAGAAAATAAGACTGTGAGAGGTGCTATAGAACAGAGATTCCCATTTCTCTATACCTTGATGGTCCAAATGAGGAATAATAAAAAGTCATAACCAATCAGTGGTGATTCTGCCCACTCCTCACTTATTTAATTTGTATATTTTTGACCCAGCTTACAGCATACTTTTCATTCTTCTCCTGTCATTACTTAGACAACAGACCCTCTATTAAATAAGTTGATTCATAAGGCAAAGCCAGCTTTTCCAAATCTAGGGCTGTGAGATGAGTTTGGATTTATAATTCTCACAGTTCTCAACTTCATGGCTGTAATTCTGGTGGTTCGAGTCTCAATACATACGGAAGATTGGGCTAGCAATTCTTTTTTCTTTTGGGGGAAGCACAAGACCTTTTGTCTCAAGCCCCATAAGGGAAATTCAAGCATGCCACATGCCCTTGCTGCATTTTCTTCTCATTTAACTTTTCTCAATGTAGGGTTTTTTTTTAAATGATTAAATGCAAAGATCTAAATGCTACTTACCTGCCATCTCGATCCCAATCATACACCTCCACTTTTATAGTTCTGCAAAAGATGACATTAATGGTCAAGTTGCAACTCCTATTGTTACCAGGTCAGTTTTCTTCTCTCTGAGAAAACCATTGGCAAAAAAAAGTGCCAAGCTGTACATTACAGATAACATTCTTTCTTTTAAGAAAGCTGGGCAAGTAAGCCAGGTGGGATTTACGGGATATTAAGAATACTCTGGCTATCCTAAATGGGCCTGCAACTGCCCTTCTAGCCTTTTCTGGATAAGCATCTTAGAACTGACGTATTAAATAAGCATGTGTTTACATCAAAGGCTCTTGCCATGTGAAGAAAAGGGAGTTGCCAAGGAGTGAACAAGTCCCTATCCTTATTCTGATTCAGAATGTGATATGACTGGGCAGGGAAGCCTCCAGCCGTGTAATAGTTCATAAGGGTGCCAGAACTTTGTTTTTTGTTTTTTAAGATAAGCCTTTTTTTGCTTCTTCTGGGCCATCCTACTTGGCAACTTAAAGTATCTCCATTATCCAAAGATGGATGCCCAAGATGCCACACAGTTCTATTGGCAAGCTGTGGCTATCCAGAATGTGCTTGAAGGCAATAATTAAAAGCTTAATCTAGACAAGGCAGAGATTTTCTTTCTTTTTTTTTTTTGAAGGTGGTGGAGTTAGCTTTTTTTAATGAAGGAGTTTTAGTGCATTCTTCAATAGGGTCTCCCCCACATGAAATTAAATGTGCAGTTTGGGAGTTCTCTTGGTCCCAGTTTCTTCATTAATGTTCAGATAACAGCTGTGGCACAAAGGGCTTCAGATGTGGAAATGCAGCAGAGTAAGTATATTACGCCCACTTCAAAAGAGGATATCAAAATAAAAAGCACCATTAGCAATGTGCATCTAGGCACAAATCCAAATGATTTTCTTTTAAACTCAAGCTTTACACAGCCTATGTCCCAGTGACCTTGGACCACTTTCCTGCCAATACATAAAATTGGAGAGTTCTTTTTCTGTGTTCCAAGATGAATAGGTGCAAATTAGTCAGCATGTGTGACACGGACATTTTTGTGGTGGCAGCCCAGCACACGCCAAGGAAGCACTTTCTCCCTCAGAAGGTCCATTTGACTCCCTCTCTTTTTAGCTTCTCCCACCAGGTGAAGACAACGTCAGACAGAATTATGATCAACTCTGCTATTTCACGCTGGATCCCAACTTTAACCTTTTAGTTACATGTGATTTCTTTGTATCGGTTATTGGCTAATTATTTCTGTTTTACATGCTTTTACAATGTTTTTAGCCACTTGTGTTTCTCTTTGGTGTTGAAAGATGAGATATAAATTATTTTAGCAAATACATACAAATTGTTTTGTTTTTGTCTTTAAATTATGAAGAGGTATATATGGTGCCTTACATGCACTCTATCCATTTTGTCTGAGTTATACTTGGAAAGATGTGAACCATTTAAATGTTGATAAACAGGCAGGCTTCTGAGACAAAACTTGCAAATGACTGGTTGATATTGCTTGACCCCAACAGTTTAATATATGCCTTACAATGATACCAGGGGTATTCATTGTTCCTAAGTAGGCAATGGGGACAATGACACTTTACCCTTAACTACAATATAATTTCCAATGTCAGACATTGGTTATTCTCAGCAAATACTCCAGGCTAGTGGATTCTTAAACTCCTGTTAGAACAATGACAGTGATTAAATTGCCTGTGGCTGTATATATGCTGACAGGTGACATTTGAATTCTCAGAGGCACAGGAATGAGCGGAGATGTCAGACCACACTTGGAGCTCATTTACAGAGACTCTGCCACATCCCTTCACCTCCCACTTCAATGATTTGGGAATTGCTTTCTCAATATTTTCAATGCTTCTTGAAGTCAACCAAATCTTCCAAACTATGCACTCACCAGCAATTTAAAGAAAAGGCACATGTTATAAAAGCAAAGCAAAATAGAATAATGGTGGGCAATCCCAATTTTTCAACTAGATTATAATAGATTAGCAGGGATGGGCAACAGTTAAAAGAAAAAAAATCATTCTGATGGAAGAAGGTAAAGCTTTAACAAGTATTCATTGAAATAAATGAACATAACTGATAATAAGTATTCTATCTTTCTGTGAACTAGGAGATCTCACACAAATGCCCTGAAAATGGCATTACACAGTCTGGAAACTAACATTCAAGAAGAGTGTCCTTTTAGACCATTAAATGCCTGGATTTAAAGTTTCCTGGTGACTTTGATTCCAAGGATTTTCATACAATTACGGCATTCTACAAAATGTGCTCAAAGTGGCTGATAACTTGAGTCTTATTCCCATCCATAAAATGGAGAGCAGTCCCCTTTAAAAAACAAGCCTGCGGTGATTTTGTTGGTAAACAGCAATTCAGAGATATCAAATTCAGTGAATTATTTGCTGAGCTCCACTAAAGGCTGTTTTCTAAGCAGCCAATTGGGGTTGGCCACCTTTTCTGGATTGCTCAGTAAATGCATGCATGCACACTTTTGAAAGTGGAAATCTTGGGAGAACAACTTATTGTGAATAGCATAGGATGCACAGGTTTGAATTATGCTCATTACATTTGATACCAGACAGAAAAAAGAGAAACCTTCAGAAAATCAGGAATTCAGATATAGCTTTGTTCATTCTAAATTTTCCTGATATTTTTTCCACTTGTTAGCAAATTTCACAACCAAACCTTGTCTGAATACCTAACCTCATCTATTTTGTAATGCCTGTTCAATTTCTCAAAGTTGACTGAAAACTTCCTGTTTGATTTTCACTACTAGCATAAATAATACACATCCTTCCCCTAGCAGCATCCTATAAGTAAAGTTAAATTAGAGTACTGCAACTGGGAAACAAAGTTTTCCTTGATAAAATACAGAAGCTCTGACTGCCCCCAAAACCCAAAATAAACACAGATTTTTGAGGGCAAATAGTATGATGAGTCACTGGGAGTTGGGCAGCATATACATTTAATAAATTATTATGAAGACGGAACATGATTTGTGTGCACACGAATGAGGCAGCTGTCACACGGATGGGACGTAAGAGCCATCCAGATCTGAGTTATATCCAACCTTTTGTACAGCACCTCAAGGTGATCTGCATCACACTCCTTCCTGTTTTCCCCATGTGAGGTAGGCTGGGCTGAGAACAACTTTCAGGGAGCATTCGTGGCTGAGGGGGAGCTAGAACCTAGGTCTCCCACCTCCTGGTTCAATACCTTAACCCAGTGTTTCTCAATCTTGGCAACTTTAAGCTATGTGGACTTCAACTCCCAGAATTCCCCAGCCAGCCATGTTCCACTGGCATGAAACACTGCCTTAACCACTACAAAGTACCCATTGGTTCTCAGGATCTGCTTCTGGAAACTCTATTCGATTTCTTTCCCCCAGTTTTATATTTACTAACACCTGAACTAGCTCTTTTTTGTTCTTTTCCCATTTTTTTTGCAGGTTGTTGGGTGGGGGAGTTTGGCAACCAATAGGTCTATCAGAGATTGGTAAATGGTTAAAGAGCAGAAAGCAAATGAGAATAAAAGCCTTTCAGATTAGATAAATGGGCAAAACAGGGTCTATCAAGAAACTGCATTAGGACTGCAGTTTTATGTTATTTATTTATTTCAAATGGTGATAAGTTGCCAAGTTTATTGATGATACCAATGTTACAAGGTTGGTAACATCAAAAAAGGATTAGAGAGCTCTCTCAAAAGAATTGCCCCCACCTGGGTGACTGAGGTTTAAATTGAAAATCCAGTTCAATGTAAACAAGTGCAAAGTAACGCACAATAGTGCAACACACTCTGCCCTCAGACTTCACAGATACACAAATGGGGACTGAGCTGGCAGTAACCGCCCAGGAAAGATCAAGAAATGGAACTTGGAATTAACAGTTCCATGAAAATGTCAACCCACTATGACTGTAAATTCCATTCTTGGAATTGTTAGGAAGGAAACAGAAAATAAAATGCCAATATAATGATCAAGTGCCCTTATAAAGCCTTATGCTGAGGCAGCACTCAAAGTAAGTGCACAGTTCTATTCACTGCACCTCAAAAAGGATATTGTAAAGCTTGGAAAAAAATACAGGAAAAGTGACCAATATTATAAAGAACTTGAGGAGGAATTGTTGGAACCAGTAATAAACCCAATGAAGGAAATTAAAGAGACAAATGTGATACCACAAACATGAGAAGAAGCATACATAACTTTGATTTAACAAATTAAGGAATGATCTGGAGAAACCACAGTCATATAGATCAATCAGTTAAACACAGGCTATAAAATTTTTATAACAATATTGGGCATGCGAAACACGATGGCGATATATACATATACCATTTTACATTCTGTGGAAAATGTGAGTTTCTCTGACAATATTAGATCCTGAAGCGATCCAATTAATGTAACCACTGGAGAAATTCAAGACTGATAAAAGGAAGCAATTCTTTACAATACAAATAGTTTGCTATTATCAGATATGGCTATAGGGCATTGAATTAACTGATTTTCAAAGGGGAGAACACAATTCATGGAGGATTAGGCAATGGATGGCCACACATTTTAATGCATCATAGATTGTTTCCATGAACAACAGGGAGTATTCTTTATGCATCAGCTAAAGAATAACAGTGGAAGAGGGTATTGTTCCCATGTCCTGCTTGTGAGCTTCTAGGGTACCTTTGGTGGTAACACAGAAGTAGCTGAGCCCTCAGCCTCAAGCCTGGCAGTGTGATTGTGTTGCTCTGGTTACAAAGAGACTAGGACTCAGATTATGATAAGGAACAGATTTCAGAGCATGGCACACAGGAGACCATGCCAAATAAAGGTATCTTTACTTTCTCCACTTTTATAAACATCCACTCTTCAGAGAGCAAGGATTTGCAGCAGCTTTATGATCCACCCACTGAAACAGGAAAAGGTTAATATTTTAAAGCAGACTTTCAATCAGGAAACAGAACGAGATGATTGCGTTTGTTGTCTTGATCTGTGACTAGCTTGGTCCCAATGTCATGCGTTTCCATAG